GTTCCCATTTCAGTCTCTGGTTTCACAAAAACCATTCCCAGCTTTGTCTTTTACACAGGTGTGTGTCAGGTAGGTTCTGGGAGTCCTGGGAAGCAGCTCTGCAGTGGACTTGGTGTTCTCCGAGTATCCTGGGGGTGTGTCCTCACATTCCAGGGTGTTTTCTTGTGACGTGCGGTCGCTGCTGGGGCTTCAAGCATGAGCTAGTGGAAGCTTGTTAGAATGGTGGTGCTTATAGTTCTGGGGCTAGCGGGGCCGTGTCCAGAGTTCCACGTTTTCCCAAGCCTGGAATCTGAGGATTTGTGCTTTTACTTGGAACGACAGCTGTGCTGTGGTTTTCATGTTCACAGCCAGCAGGTTTTAATAACCATAGCGACTCTTCGTCAGACAGATAATTAAATTTGTTTTTAATTTGCATGCCTGGTTCTGTTGACGTTTTTAATTTTTAGGCCTTTCTTGTAATTATTTTACATTTCAGGTATAGTCTGATTTTTCATCTACTTCGGGCTTGTTAATTTATGTTAGCAGTGACTACTTTGTGGGGTGAGACATGTCTGCAAAGTTTTATGTGGGCGCCCAGCACTTGGGTTTGTCATTGGAGAGAGGTCCCCCCCCCCACCTGCAGCTTTCTGGCACCCAGGTTCAAGTTCCACAGTGTCCTTGGGACTAACGAGATCTTGTTCCTCTGACAATGTAACTAGGACTGGGGGCTTCTTCCAGATTTGTACTTTTTTTAAGTTTTATTGTGAGTCTGTAAATGAGAACAAGTTATTAATATAAAATATATTTAGGATAATGTGTGTGTATTTTGCAGATATGAAGCAGCAGCATGTCATAGAAACTTTGATTGGCAAAAAGCAGCAGATCTCTCTTGCGACGCAAATGGTGAGAATGATTTTGAAGATCGATGACATCCGGAAGCCTGGAGAGTCTGAAGAATGAGGCGAAAATGGAAACTACAATGCAGTGAGGCCCCCCGCCTTGGCGGAATAAAGGGGTGTCTCGTGGCGCATCTGCAGTTATTACTGTGTCCTTCCCAGACACTGCGGATGCTACTGTAATAAATAGAAAGCTGTTCGGTACCTGCGGTTTTCCTTGTTCAGAGACTCATGTGAGCGGATGTGCTATTTCACGGGCTTCTGTGTTCGTCCCATTAAAGCAGGCTCTCCGGCCCAGTGCTGTCTCCTTCCTCTGAAGGAAACTCCCGACTGTGTCATTCAGATGCTGCCTGGATGAGGGGGTTCTAGTGGGTCTTTTTTTCAGTCTGTAGGTACATTGAACAGCTTAAACATTGAGCCTGTGCCACAGATGTCGTGGACTGTGGGCTCGATTCTGTGAAATGTTTTAGGGTCTCAACAGATGTAGAGACCCATGGGAGAGGAGCGTGGGAAACCACGAGATGGCAGGGTGGCCTGAGTGCTCTTAGCCCAGAGCCACACAGCGAGGGTAGGATGAGACTTCCTGTGGTCCCCAGGGAATCACATGACCCTGGTCCGGTGCCACCTGCAGGAACTCAGAAGAGCCATTCAGAGCCCCACCAGGGTCTCCAGTGGGACAGAACTGGGGGAGGTTAGAGTGGGTTGAGTGGAAGGAAGGGCATCATGGTTCTCATTGCCGGGTAGACCAGTGTGTCTACCTAAAGTGACAGTGGCTGACGTGACCTAGGCCAGAGCACAGGCCAGTCCTTTTTCTGAGAGTCGGGGCTAGCCTCGTGCTGCTCTCATCTCCTGGCTGGGGAGCAGTAGAGCTGGGTCAAACCCGGGTGGCCTGACCCCGGTGGCCCCTCCTCCCCTATGCCATTTTGCCTCACGTATGGTTCTCTAGATTGCGTTTTTCTGGAGAATCATCATCAAATTTACTTACGAGCCACCAGGGGGAGAGGAATCCTGATGGGACCAGTCAGATAACCAGAATCACGAAGTCACTTGTCTACGCTGACTTCAGTGAAGGTTCAGAGTTGCCTCTCAGCCTGGAAGCTGTTGGGTTATTTCTTCTCTGGGACTGCGCTGGTGGTTTGGCAAAGCAAGTAGCCTACAGGCTTGGGAGTGAGTGTTGGTATCCTAGCAGCAGGCTGTGGGGGACAGTCTGGTTCTGAAAGCTGAACATGGGCACCTGGGTGGCTCAGTCGGGTAAGCGTCTGTCTTCGGCTTGGGTCATGATCCCAGGGTCCTAGGATCGAGCCCCGAGCCGGGCTCCACACTCAGCTTGGAGTCTGCTTCTCCCTCTGCCTCTGTCCCTCACCCCTACTTGTGCTCGCACACACACGCAATCAGATGAAGAGAAGAAATTTAAAAACAAAATCTACTTCACATAGAACCTGGTTATGTGTCTCATTTTCACACATCAGCGCAACAGCACTTATATCCGTACTACTAGGTTCCGGGTGTGGAGTCCAGTCAGACCCGCCTCACAGGGACTGATTCCCGCCTGCAGACGTCACAGGACCTTGCTTTGGACCAGTTTCGCCTGAAGGGGCCCGCGGTTGTCTGAGAGGAGCCACTGAACGAACCACTCCCTGGCAGCGTGGGCCTCACTCCCTGGTGCATTTGGGGGCTGAGAAACGACTCGGCCTCTGAACAGAAGAACCCGCAGAGACGGCTTGCCAGCCTGACTGCGCTCCGTGTGAGGGGCTCTTCAAGATAACACGCCACCCTTCTTACTTGCCGGTTAAATCCTTGTCAAATTATGTGTCCCTTTTTTTTTTTTTTTTTTTTAATGTGTAACACAGGACATTTATTTACGTGCTGTTATGAGAATACCAGGCCAGAGAAGCCAGTCTCTGAGATGGAGAGGATCCGGAGTCTGGAATAGCCGAGATTGGGACCCAGGCCCTGTGGGTGCGGGGGCACTTGCCGGGGCCGCCTTCAGCTGCTAAGTCACCTGCTGCTCGAGCAGACTCTGCGAACGTGGGGCCTTCCTGCCGGGCCGGCTTACCTAATCCTGACCACCGGACAGGTCCCGGAGAGCTGGCTCCCTGGTTCAGGGTCCCCCCCCCCCCGGGGCCCCAGCCCCCACTGTCTATGCGCGGCAAGAGTGACCCAGGGCAGGGGACCCCCCCGGGCCAGACGCCCGCACCAAACCACAGCCAGCACGCCGGCCACCTCTGACGCTAGTGGGTTTATTCGGTGTTTGCGAGGTGGCCTGCTCGTGACAAGCAACCAAAGTACCGCTGCTTCCAGGAGGCCCGAGAGGCCAGCGTGTCTGCGGACGGGTCCCGCCTGGGAAGGCCACTCTCTGAAGGGGGGCCTTGCCCAAGCTACGCGGATGCTCCCAGCCTGGAGCGCAGCCACCCGGCGTCCCCTGCCATAGCGGGTGGCGCGCCTGCTCGCAGCTCACGTGACGTCCCCGTACTTGAAAGGACCTCGACCTGCTTCCAATTCCCCAGAGGGATGCAATGAGCCTGGACCTGTGGCAGATCGTCGTTCAGGCTTCTAGAAAGAAGTGCTGCAGGCGGTGGCTTGAATGTTGCTCTCACAGCTCTGAAGGCTGGGAGTCCCAGACGGAGGGATGGGGTCTTGGGAAAGAGTAACCCCCCCCGCAAAAAAAAACAGAGCCCCTGGCCCCCCTCCCCCTGGCCGGTGTTCTGTGAGGGCGAAGCCTGCCGCTGTGCCCGTGAGGAGAATGCTCAGATTGGTGGGCACCCACCCGTGTCCTGACTTCCCCAGGGCCCGAAACCGCTCCGGGACCCAATTAGGAGTGTCGTGGGAGAGACTTCGGTGTTACTCTCTCAGCCACTGTTAGTCGAGCCACTGTGAGTTGGGGTATTTGCAGCCCAGGAAAACCATATCTTCCAGCCTGGACCCAAACCTAACTTTCCCCCACAGCCCTGCTTCTCTCCCTAACCTGCAGGCCTCAGACAGTTCACGAGGACTCTTCCAGATGCTCTGGAATCCCTCCTTTCCATTTCCCTGCCTGGGTGAGGCCCACATTGCTGCTTCCTTTTCCTCTCCCTCTCCAGAGGGACCCATCTTGTCACTAAAACCATCGGTCACATGGGACTCTGCAAGCCCAGCTGTGGAAGAAACAAAGGGGTGGGTGTGGATCCTTGACATCTTAGGGACCCTTCTCGTTCCTGTCTTCCAGAAAGGAAGCGTGTGGGCTTCCCTCCTGGAGGCCCAGGATCAACAGGAAATGGCTCCAGGTTGGCCACGGTGCACAGGGGTGAACGAGGTCCCACCCTGAGCCCAGGAGCCAAGTGGAAAGGCCCTCTCCAGGGTCCCACCTGATGGAGGGGACATCCTGGAGGGCCCAAGCCGGGGTGGGAGGGGAACGAGGTGGCCTTTCTGGATCTGCAGTCTCAGAGGGGCCAGTGGGGGTGACCGCCGTCCAGCCTAGGGTTCATGGAAAGTCGGCAGGCCACAGCAAAAAGGTAGAGCCTTTCCTGGCGCAGACCGGATCTGTCCCAAACGGCTCCTCCCAGCCACATGTGGCCGCTGAGCACCTGGCATGGGGGCCGGGCCTCCCAAGGAGCTGAGCTGGTTCGTGGGATTTAATCTAAAGTAATTCAAATCTAAACACTGAAACTTGACCCTGTACCCCTTCCAAGTGATGCAACTCCAGGCCCTTGGCCTGGAAAATGCCCTGTTTTAGAAAACCACTTCCTAGGAGACAGTCACTGTAATCCATCATTCTTTATTAGCTTTTAGAAAAAGCCACACATTCAAAAAGTAAGTTTATTGGCTTGATGTAATTAGGTCAATGAAACCCTATTTCAACTTCAGGATTTCTCACAGTGCAATGTATGAACGTGACAGACAGATCCGTATTAGGACAGACAAATGCCCCATGAAGCTGGGCTTTGAATCTGAGTTTATAGTTCACGTTCTTCACGGCTATGCCGTGCTCATCATCATAAAGGATGTACTTAATTAAAACACAAGAAGTCCACATCTGAGCTGTCAGCGGGTCCATAAACAGCCCTAAAGATTTTATTTATTTGACAGAGACAGACACAGCGAGAGAGGGAACGCGAGCAGGGGGGAGTGGGAGATGGAGAAGCAGGCTTCCCACTGAGCAGGGAGCCCCATGCAGGGCTCAATCCCAGGACCCCGGGATCATGACCCGAGCTGTAGACTGAGCCCCCCAGGCGCCCCAGCAGCCCTAGGTTCTTACAGTTAGGATATTACCCTATCATTCAAATTCTTTGTTTAGGGGCTTTTTTAACATGTTAAAAGTTAAATTATATCATGCATTAACAGAGGAAATAATGAGTTTCAGGATTCCCTAGCTCATATAAAGTGAAAATTAAATCAAACGATCCAAATACCCCAAAGCCCGTTTCTGGGTGCAAGCAAGCTGTTTTGAGGAAGTTACACTTGGCCACAGCTAAACATACTTGTGCAGCCACTCAAGTAAATTTCTTCTTGCTTCGTCAATATAGGGCTTGTCTTCCACTGAACAATCTTCTCTCTTTCGATGCACGAAGCCATGGGTTTGCCCAGAAAATGTTTTAATTTGATATTCCACTTTGCAGTGTTTTTTCAACTTCTGGGTCAGCAAAGAGACCTGATAGACAAAAGGATTTCATGATAGTATGATTTTAAGTCTAATCATGGTTTCCAGTCCCCAAATCCTCTCGGAATGCTCAGAAAAAAAACTTAACATCAGTGCCTTAAGTTTTGTAGCTATTATGAATTTTTTACTTTTATACCTAACACAGTCCTTATAATCTCTGGCAAAGGAGAGGATTCCAAGCAATATAAAAATGATACAATATCAGTTCTTTGAAACTGTATTAATATCTTTGGTATACCATTCAATATACAACAAAATATTCAATATATTCAAGTAGAAATTATTTTAAATTTGTATGAATATAATGTATTAGTTATGAATAACAATAATTTCTAAATGACTGCTTTTGAACCAGTTTTCTTCTGCTTTTTTCTTATCAACATACTGGGTTGAACATATCCAACTTTTTTTTTAAGTAAAACCCCCACAATGTGGGGCTCAAACTTATGACCCCAAGGTCAAGAGTTGCAAGCTCCATGGAATGAGCCCACCAAGTGCCCCACACCAACGTCTTTAAGGACACACACCTTCCTTATCTTAACTCGTGGGGTTTTTTGAAGATTTTATTTATTTGAGAGAAAGAGAGAACACAAATGGGGGGAGCATTAGAGGGAGAGGGAGAAGCAGGCTCCCCGCTGAGCAGGGACCCCCCCCCCGATGCGGGGCTCGATTCCAGGACCCTGGGATCATGACCTGAGCCGAAGGCAGAGGCTTAACCCACTGAGCCACCCAGGCGCCCCATCACCTTCATAACTTTAACATTGAAAAATATTTGGAGCAACAAATGAACCTTTGGGACATTTTCCCTGAAAGGTCAAGTCATGTTATTAAATATAGAAATGAGAAGAGGGGCACCTGGGTGGCTCAGTCAGTTAAGCATCAGACTCCTGATTTCGGTTCAGGTCATGATCTCAGGGTCATGAGATCAAGCCCCGGGTCCCGCCTGTGCTCAGCAGGGAACCTGCTCGAGGATTCTCTCTCCCTCTCCCTCTGCCCCTCCCCCCACTCACGAGCACGCACTCTCTCTAAATAAATAAACCTTCAAAAAAAATGAAAAGAGGAATGATGCCAACTTACTTGCTCAAGGGGAATCACAGCATCATTTTCAGCAAAAATGAACAACGTGGGGTTCTTTAAACTGTGCACGTCTTCAGAGTCCTTGACGATGCCTGGAAGATGGGGACAGACACGTGCGGTAGGATTTCCAAACGGGCCTCAGAAACCTCTGTGGGTTTGGTTTGATTTTTCAAAGTAAAATATGTGCTTTGGGGGTTCAGTTTATTTCCTTTTCGGTAATTCTACAGAAGTGACCTGGCCTACAAAATCAGTCTCAAAGAGAAACTTACCTAGCTAGACCTTCCTGCTCTCTACTTCATGAGAAGTCAGGCCATAAATAGTGGAATTAGACCTTGCTGTCTGCTTGGCCTGCCCAGAGACAGGAGCAGCCTGAAAAACACTCCCTTGTGTGACGATGCCTTCCTTTACAAACGGGGGACAAACTCTCAAATCTGGACCATCTGGCCCCTCCTGTTCTAGAAGTCTCTCACAATCCACAGAAGCCCCACAGCATCCAACCTCAGTTTGCCAAGTGGCTTCATACATAAGGTGAGGCAGCTGTTTCCCAGGATATTGGTGCTCCGACCAGACCACGGTTGTGACATCACAGGTATGACATCACAGGTGTGGTACCCGGTCCTCAGAGGACATCTGTAAAAGTTACCTTTCATCCTTTGTTTCAGAATTTTAGCGCGCATTTGGCCCAAAGCCTGCTCTGCCCCGGGCATTCAGACCACAGCCGGGCGTCTGCCCACGATCTGTCTGTGATCCGAAGCCATCTTAAGGTAACTAGTGTTCAAGGAAATTATCCTGACATTGTGAAGGAAGTTTTATTCAAGAAGGACCACCAGAATGAGGTCTGGCTATAGGAGAGAGAGATCGCTCAACCCGAATACCAGCACAAGTGGGGATTTAGCGCCGAGGAGGAGGGCGCGGGGGCAGCGGGTGGAAAATGACTAAGAGCAAACGTAAGACGGATTCTGGCCAGAGGACGTGACAGAATTCCGGCTCACGCGATCCAGAGGGTGGGGGGTGAGGAATGTGGTCAGACATCCAAAGTTGGGGGATTCTCACTAGGCTGTCCCAATGGGCCAAGGACAGACTGGCTGTCCCAGTCGGGCCCCCCCCAGAAAGAGGACTCACAGAGGAGCCTGGCTCAGGTGGGGTCGGGACAGGGTCCAAGTCAGTAGGAAGAAGAAAACAACGGGCATCTCCTGCTTCCATGTCTGGGCAGCACAGCAAAGCCAAGCAGCCCAGAGGGCCTCCCCTTCCCTGTAGCCCCTCTCTAGGAGGCAGGGAGCCACAGGAGGGCTGGCCACGCTCCCTGACCCCCTCTGTTAAGGCCACCATGCATCGCTGGACAGCAAAGGTTCGATGCCCCCAGGCGTCTCCTGCGTCCTGCCAAGCAATGCGCAACAGCGGCCAGAAGGGGGAGCCGGCGAGGCGTCCACGCAGGAGAGCCTTCGTTTCACACAAGGGGACGGTCATCCCCGTTGTGCCCAAAGCCAACTGACAACGTATTCTCTTTGGTGTAAGTTAGTATCTTTTTGAAAATTTTTTTTGAAAAAAAAATTTTTTTTAAGATTTTATTTATTTATTTGAGAGAGAGACAGTGAGAGAGAGCATGAGCGAGGAGAAGGTCAGAGAGAGAAGCAGGCTCCCCGTGGAGCTGGGAGCCCCATGCGGGACTCGATCCTGGAACTCCAGGATCACGACCCGAGCCGAAGGCAGTCGTCCAACCAACTGAGCCACCCAGGCGTCCCGTAAGTTAGTATCTTTAAAGGATTTTTTTTTTAATGCTAAAAGTAAGCAAAATCGCCACAGCGAACAACCACTGATCCAGATAGGAATCCTCGGTCTGTAACTGTAGGACATACGATCATGAAAGAAACCGAATTCCCTTCTGTCTTTTTTTTCTTTCTTTCCTTTTTTTTTTTTTTTCTTACATGTTTATGGTCCGCTCCTCCAGCATGGACCTAGTACGCACGGCCCCGCGCACACGCGCTCTTGCTTCGTTGCCATGACAGCGGCGGTCTGTCGTGCTGGAGCGTTTACGCGCCGCTACAAGGCTCTTCCCTCCCCTCCCCTCCCCTCCCCTCCCCTCCTTCCTTAGCCCGCACCGCGCAGCCCGACCCTCCCGTGTCCGGACGGCGGTTCACGGTGTCCCTCAGAAGGAACGCGGCCGGAGAGTCACCACGAGCCCGGAGATACACGTTACCCCCTTCGCCCTTGGGCGCGGGGACCGGGGCTCCGGGTCCCAAGCTCCGCCTCCGGCACCACCCACCCGGCCCTCCCCTCTCAGGGCTGCAGAGCCGAGCCCCTGCGGACAGGCTGCGCCTCCCCCAGGCCTCCCGCCTCCACCGAGTCCGACGCGCGAGGCGGATTTACCGTAGACGGACACCCCCGCCCGGAGCCCGGGGTACGTCATCATCACGTGGTGGACGGCCACGCCCCCCCAGCAGAATCCCACGACGCCGACGCGCTGCGCGCCGCACTGCCGCTGCAGGAACGTCAGCACGGCGTCCACCTCCCTGGAACAGAAAGTTCGGGAATCAGGGGCGCCGGGGTGGCTCCGTGGGTGGAGCCACCGCCTCCGGCTCAGGTCGCGATCCTGGAGGCCCGGATCGAGCCCCGCATCGGCTCCCCCTCGCCTCCCTCTGCCCCCGCCCCCCCGGGCTCGCCCTCTCGAAGAAAATCCTACAAAAAGCGAAAAAAGGCGGCTAGAGGCCCCTTGTAGGTGGACTCTGAAGAGCCAGCCTCGGAGACGCGGAGCGGTCGCCGGTGCGGGGGATGCGGGGGCGGGGAAACACCGGACGAGGGGCGCGGACTCCGGTCCGGAGACTGGCGAGCCCCGGGCTGTAGCGTGCCGCGGGGGCAGAGTTAGTGACGCAGTCGATGCCGCTGCATACCGTGCGCGCAGGTCGCGGCGAGCGCCGGCAGCGCGTGTTCCCGCCACCGAAAAGAAGGTAACCCTGGGACAGGACATTGGTGCTGCCAAAGGCTAGGGTGGCAGTCATTTTGCAATATATAAACGTGTTGAATCAACACTGTACACCTTACACTTAGACATTATGGGTCAATTATATCTCAATAAGGCGGGGGCGGGCAAAAAGACAATCGAGAGGCATTTTGTGAGCACCCCGTCTCTCGCCCCCTCCCTCCCCCCGCAGGGGACGAGCGCGGGACAGCAGGTGCTCGGACATGGACAGTCACGGGGCTTCCGCAGCAGCTCTGCCTCCGCGGTCTGCGATTCTTGCTTTTGGAGCTCTGTCCTCCCCCGCGGCTGCCGCAGTGATGCACATCGCCCCACGGGTCTCCCCACACGTTTCTCCACCAAGCACAGCCTCCTCCAACCACCTGACAGAGCGGCGGGCGGGCTCTTTGCAAACCACATATCACACCAGCCCACAACCCAGATGAAAGCTGAGCCCTGGCTTTCCACAGCCTCCCAGTAAAGGCCAGAGGCCAAAGCACAGCGTCCTAAGACCTGATCCCAAGATCCACCCCCGCACGGGGCAGCCCAGCCTGCTTGCCTCTGACAGACACGAGCCCCAGCCGGGCAGCTCCCCAAACTTCACTCCCGCAGCTAACACCCTGACTCGGGAACGCTGGTCTCCTTCCGTGCCCAAAGAGCAGAGCGGGACTTGGAAAGTTGTCAGCACGATGTAAGCCAGAAGAACACCAGAAGTGGTCTTTGCAAACGTTTATTTGCAAATTGCTTTTTGGGAACTCGGTGTATTTTCAGCTAGAAGCAATACACCCAAACGGAGATAGGGAAGCAAGACCAGGCAGAAAGTTCTGGTTTGATCGAATAAGGAAGAAATGCTACAGCTTAAAAAAGAGAAAGCAAGCCATTCTCTTGCACTTCCTCTCCCTTTTGATCATAGCATATCCTGGAGCACCTTTAAATAAATGGATTCTACTGCTAAGTACAGGGCACTTACAGTCCTCATGTGAGCGGTAATTAAGTAATTCCGCAAAACATGGAAAGAGCAATAGTTCTTGACATTTGGGGTTTTAATTTTTCCTCGGATGCTTTGATCTCAAGAGTAACGGCCTTAATTGGAGGAGACGAGGAAGAGGTCACTTCTATAAAAACACTTGAGCTTGTGTGAACATGTCTTTGCTGGTGCTGCTCTGCATGTGTTCCCTACGTTTCTGGAAGCACCAGGGTTCAGCTTTGGGAAGCTCTCCTCCCACCCACCTTGGTTCATATACCTTGGGGGATTCTGCACTAGGTTCCAGTTGTGAAGTGTGTGGTGCAGGCTGACCAGCAGAAAGCACAGCCATTTCTTGGCCACAATGACTGATTCCAGGACAGACCTATGACTGAGCCATAGCCATGAGGGCAAAATCTGAATTTTGCTGAGTTGCTGGAAAAGGGACCAATGGAAGGTTGGAGCTGCTGCAGCCATCTTGTCACCCAGCGGCAAGAGCTGCCTGAGAATGGAGGCAGTGTACAGGCAACCTAGTAGAGAAATGTTGGAAGGCAAGTCCCAGAGATAGTTTCTGTACTAGGAACCAACCCCTGCTTCAAGCCAGAAACTACCTCTTTTAGCATTCAAGATGGGTTTTGTGTTACTTAGGAACACACTTGACCAGATACAAGGATTTCAGTCTCCTTTCAAAGTGAGTGTTTCTATCTCTCTCTCTCCCCCCCCCACCTTTTTTTTGTTTTGTTTTGCTTTGCTTTGTCATGGGCTGGGAGAGGGGTGGGACAGAGGAAGAGGGAGAGAGAGAATCTCAAGCAAGCATGGAGCCCAACATGGGGCCTGATCTCACGATCCTGGGATCGTGACCTGAGCTGAAATCAAGAGTCACACGTTTAACCGACTGAGCCTCCCAGATGCCCCAGTGTTTCTCGGTCTCATTTTTGTTTAAAATGCATGGCTCTCCTTTTCCCCTGTGGCACAGTACCGCTGGGCTGCTCCAGCATCTCCCAGCAGCGATCACTCTGCTTTGTGCTAACAAATGGCAGGCAGACCCCCCCCCCGCAGTTTTTCCTCAGAAAGTCGCAAAAGGTCCTAACTATTCTCCCCCGACCCCAGCCCCCATGGAAAGATGAATTCCACAGTGGCATCCCGGTCTCTGTGGTTCTCTTGTGTTTCTACTTCTAATTTTTCTCTCCACATCTGGCTTCATTTTGGTTTTCTTGGGGTTGCAGGTTAGGGGTGCAGGTCTCCTGGGAGGGACTAGGAAGAGGTTAAGTGTGCAGGAGGCTTATCCCCAAGAATCTCTGGGCCAACGCTGAGGAAAGGGAGGGAAGGACACAGAGCCAGGCACGGGGAGCAACAAGCTGTGACAGTCTCCACACAGGCCCCAACCAGCTCCTCAGGGAGGCTTGGAGCCGGGGTGGCCGCCAAGGGTCCCCCTGACTTGAGGTGAAGGAGCCAGGCCTACACAGCCCTGCAGGAAGACTACTCAGGATGGGGCAGAGGAAGACAAGGCAGCTGATGTCCCAGAGACAGTCCCACGGACCACTGCTGGGCTGGTCTCCAGCCCACAAGTTTGGCCATGCTGGGAGCTCCCAGCGCAGCCCGCAGCACAGGCCCTGCGAGAAGGGGTTCCCAGTGAGTGTGGGGCATGAAAATGGGGCTGAGAAGCCAGGTAGGAGCACTCAGCAGGGCCCCAGGCCCCTTTGGGCTAGGGGCAGAGGTCTGCCTGAGGTCCACCAGCCCTGGGTGCAGCTCTTGAAGGGCATTCTGGTGGAAGAAGGAACAGAAAGTTCCAGGGACCGCATGCCCATGGGCAGGGCCCCACATTCTTAGCAGTTACCCCAACCTCAGCTGGGGGAGCAGCTTATTAAACCCAAGGCTCACGTCTGGTGACCGGGAAGGAAAGAGTTCAGAAGGACAGATGGCCAAGGTGATTCGGGCTGGTGTTGGGGGAACCTCCTTTGCCCTGGGCTCACACTGACTTGTTCAGGAGAAGCTTGGCATCAGAGAACCTTCCTGGCCCTTTCCCCCTGCACACTTAGCCCAGACAGAAAGAGCTGTCTGGACGGCAGCTAAGCACACTGTTCCTTGCTTCTGGGCAACTTTTTTTCAATAAAAAGCTGAAATCCTGGGAGGATCCCCCTCTTTTACTTCACTGCTCCCTGGACCCTGACAAGATGTCAGTCCTGGTCTAATGGGCCTGGTGTCAAGACCTGAAGTCTCTCAGAGGGGGAGGTGGGGGGTCAGGTCTAGGCTGGGGGAGGGGACAGCCCTTTGGGTTTCCTGTCAGCTGAGCCCTAATGGGGCAAGCCCCTGACCCAGCTTCTTTTCTCCGCCCACTGCCTCGACTGGTTCTGCAGCCTGGACAGGAAGGAAGGAGTGTTGACCCTATGCACCTCGAAAGCACCCTTGTCAAGGGAAATCGGGCCACCACAAAGTGGTCCTTCCCCAACGTTCCCTTGGCATGAGCGCCACAAAGTTGCTCATAGAGGGAAGCAGAGAGCCTGCTGGCGTCCCACCTTCCAGGCCACACACAGGCTCCATGAAAGCCAGTTTCCTTAGGCATTAGCCATGGCCCTGGAAGTCCCACACGAGGGAGGGTGGGGGGTGTCTGAATAGTGAAGCCGTACCCACTTCACCCTGCAGCCTCCACTTTCCCGGGGGGCCTGGGATGGGAGCGGGGGGTGGGGGGACGGGGTGGAGGGGTGGCACAAACATGGACGATAACTTACTTATCAATCTTCCTGGCATCTCTTGTTTTCAACCACTCCGGGAAGGTGGACCAGTCCCCAGATGGGTGCCATGGCTCCTGACCTACGAAGAAGTCCGGGACGATGGTCCTGTCAAACAGGGACATTCATTGCTCTTCATTTCGGAGCTGCTGGGCTTTGCTGACATTCATGAAGAAGCCTGTTACGTTGGTGATTCTGATTCACAGTGGGGACCACGAAGGCCAAGTGTGATCGAATCAGAGGCCAGCTGGCGCCAGGCCAGACCACTGGGGATTTCACAACTGTAGGTGCGAGGCCTCTGCTAGCCTCCTTGGAGCCCAGCCCATCTGAAATGACAAGGCGAGCCCACGGGCACAGTCCCCATGGGACGGATGACCCAGGAAGGAGCCCCAGAGCCCCCTCCCCCACCCCGGGAGGAGCCACCTGGCTCAGCTGGCCTTCTGCGTTAGTCCCAGGTCAGAGGGTACACCTGGGTCACACATCCAGTCACGATGACCAAGCAATTTTCCCCCAGCCTCCGCCCAGGATGCCGACAGGGCACAACCTCCTGCTCAGAGGGAACGGTCTCCTGCAGGTTCTAAAACAGGCGGCAGAGAGAAAACAAGCCAGTTCCCCTGAGTCCGTGTCCCTCCTCCATGCATGTCAACCCCCCGCCCCCCCGTCCCAAGGCTGGGTCCACACAGCACCAGCCCGAGACTCGCTTCCTAGAATAAAGGCCGTGGCCACAGATGGAGGAACCCAGCTCTTCCTGTCAGGGTGGAAGGAACCCTGGAATCTGGGTCAGAAGAACCCAAGTTCAAGCCCCAGTATGGCGCCCGCCCACGCCGTGACCTTAACAAGTCACTTTTAGCCTCATTTTCTCGGTCTGATGAACAGACGGCCCTGGCCAACCTCGACGGGTTATTCTGACAGCAAAGGGAGTTGGATAAGTGGGAGAGCTCTGTAAGTCACGGGTGCCTTTGCTCATCGTTTGTGTTCCATCTCTAGCTAAGGACCCACCGTAGGACAATGGAAGCTACCACGCCAGGGCCCAGCCTGCGGGGTCACTGGGAGGATAAAGGACACATTCCTGCAATGCCCTCTGCACGGGGTCCATCCAGCTCAGCCTCGGGACAACCGGGGTTGGCTACCGTGCTTCTCACTGGGTTTGCCCCTAGTAAGTCACGTGGCCTCCTGTTCCAGACATCTGGGGGCATGAAAAAGTGAAAACTCCAGCGCAAACCCTCTTTGCCATCTGCACTAACGCTGAGTCACACAACAGTGGGCGTGTGACCTTCAAATCGATTTCTCTGGTAGGAAAACAAGGTCAGTGCACACTGGATTTGCAGCTTTTTGAGAAAACAAAGGAAATCGCGGTGCGCCCCACTCGGGGCTGGTGGGTGGTAGGCTGTCTGAGGCTAGAGGTAAGGACCGGCCCCTCTCCTCCGTGTTTACGGACACTGTGCCAGGACCTGGCGTGATGGGAAGCGGACAGGTGTGTTCTCAATACTCAATCCGGCAGAGGCCTAACCTTCAGGAGAGGAGTGAGGTCTCACAGCACCGTTCTGGAACCCCTGGGAACTCGGACAGGACCCTGATCGCTTGTGTTTAGCATGTGTTTCGCCCAGGCTTAATCATGGGTCGTCTGCTTGTAAAATCTGACCTGGCTGAGACGTGTCCAAGGCCAAGGAGCAGATCCATTACAGAGCCGGCAAGGGAGGCCGGCCCCAGGCGCCCTGCACCTGCCCAGGCAGACCCTGCATCCAGCAGTAACTCCCTCCGAGTCCAAGGGGTCTACAGGTCCAAGCAGGGCAAGGAGGAGCCCAAGCCCCTGGGGGGGGGGGGGCGCGCCAGGGGGTCTGGGTGCAATGGCAGCCTCTGGACGCCAGGTGGTGTTCAGCTCACGTGACATTCCCCATTTGCGGTTGGTGGGGGGGGTGCCGGCACCATGAGATGAGGAAGTAGTAACCTAACTTAGAATGCAGGTAGGGCTTTTTGGCTTTGGTTTTGTTTTCCCTGAAGGGACCGTAACAGAGCATAGAAATCTCCAGGAATTTAAGGAAAAGAACAGAACTTCCTACGTACGTGTATCCATTTCCTGCGATCAGGTCAGCCATGTATCTGGTGTTGGGCAACTGCCAGCCAAATATATCTTGAATGACGATCACAGCCTTGCCCGTGTGGAAGGGGGGCTTGGTCACGTAAGCCTTGATGTGCTCGACTTGAACTTCCTGTCCCATCCCTCCATACTCTAGCCTGTGCCCAATGTCACATGGACAAGGGTGAGCCTCATTAGCCATTGCAGAGATTGAAGGTGGGCTACAGAGAGAGAGAGAAACATGCATTATGTTCTGAATGGTGCAAATCCAAAGATGATAAACAGTAAGTAAACTAAAATCAAGAGTGTAGAAAAGAATTCATTTTAACTATTTGCATCGTGTATTTCATGGAGGAAATCGCTGGTAACTTGTGATTCTGAGTGGGGCTAATAGGAATCCATTCCCATTACAAACACTAGAAATATCAGAAGGAATGTAACCAACAGATAAAAATTAAAATGGTGGAGCCCAAAAAGGGAACAATCCCCAGCCAGGATTGGACAGGAGACTTGAAGCCAGGGTCATGGTGGCAACGAGCAGATACTGAGTGAGCCCAGCGATCCTGGGGAGCAGGCTAGACCCAGGAACAAGCACTAATACCCCCTGAGATGGGGATTTGTGACTGAGACTCCACGCAGTGTCAGAGCCCCCAAGGTTTATATTTATTGGGGGGGGGGGGGAGAAAATAAATAAAACTCTACCAACAAGGACTAGGACAAAGGTTAGAAAGCCCAGGGAGGGAAAAAAGAAACCAATCCCCCGAAATTTCCCCTCTCCCTTCAAAGTAGGAATTCGTAGGCAGTGAAATGAACCAAACAAGTGACCCGGGGCAGCGAGATCCCTGGGCACCCGGCAAGGCAAACGCAAACCTCCTTAGAGCGAGACTTCCACAATCCAAGACAAAAGACGCTACCCCTGAAGAGGGTCGGCAAAGGGGACAGCCTGAGGGTGGCAGGGTCCTGGACACCATGTGCCGGGAGAGCCGACTGGTTTTGCTGGTAGACGGCATGGCGGGGGAGGAGGGTCAGACAAAGAGGAGTCGGTGACGATGAGGGTTTTTTGCCCGAGCAACTGGAAAAGGGTAGCGTGTCTTTCAACAAGAAGGGGGAGACTCAGGAAGAGCAGGTTTGAGGAGATCGGGTCTTAAAAGTGGGGTGGTAAGTCGGAAACATCTGTCGGACAAGCTGAGTGGCAGCTCCTAACAAGAATATCAGGGCAGGGGTCCAAGCGGAAATGACAAGCTTGAAAGAGTCAGCAATCCCCAGCCCAGCCTTTTTTTTTTTTTTTTTGGCAGATTCCATACACATGAATTTGCCTCGTTGCAAAATTTACTGCAACTCCAAAATCAGTATTTGTCATGCTTTCGCCATCATCCACGGACTTCTGTAGAGCAGTGGCAGATCTGAGTCACTGACACGCACGGTCCCTGCCAAGGTCGAACAAGGCAACGCTCTCCCTCCTCATGCAGCCCCCACCGCACACAAGGATCCGCTCGCTTTCTGTGGGGTCCCACAGCTTCCGCATTTTGCACTTTCGATGGCGACTTCATTGTTTATGAACAGACTCCAGGCGTAGTGCTGAAGAGCCGTCTCGTGATCCTAAGGGCTCCATGTGCCCCCAAAGATAATACGGACGGTAGACAAACCCGCTGATGGCAGGTTCAATGTCAATGAATCAACTCTATTATTAAGTAAGGCGTCTCTACTCAGAAACACACATAAAACGGGGTGACCCATTGACCAATGCACAGAAATGGGACCAGAGGCTCAGAGCGGTGGTTCGGGATTTGCTAGTCTGCTATCCACCTGACTTTATCGACCATGACTACGTTTGGCCCTTAACGCGGGTTTTAACTGCACGAGTCCACGTACACGTTGCTTTTTTTTCCATAAATACACTCTAGGACCGTAAATGTATTTTCTCTTTTTTATAACTTTCTCAACATTTTCTTTTCTCTAGCTTACTTCATGGCAGGAATACAGTATTTAACACATATTAACATGCAAACTATGTGTCAGTCATCTGTCCATGGTACCGGCAAGGCTTCCGGTCAACAGTAGGCTATTAGGATTACATTTTGAGGAGTCAAAAGTTCTAGGCAGATCCCTGACTGCACGGCGGTCAGCACTCCCAGCCCTGGTGTTGTCCAACTGTGGTGTAAATAATGAGAATCAGCTGCACATCGTATTTAAAACCTTGAGAGTGAATGACACCAGGAAGGGAACGACAGTAGATAAAGAAGAGAAGGATCTAGAAGTTCCAGCCCTAGGACCCTCACCATTAAAGGCTTTGGGGAGTAGAAGGAACAAGCAAGCAAGTCGGAGAAGAAACAGTGAGTGAGGGGGGAGGAACCCCAAGTCATGGGCCTGAAGCCACGTGAAGACAGTTTCTAGGAAGCAGAGTATAGACCGAGACCTTCTGCAAGAAACCCTGAGAGAGACACAGGGCGAAGCAAGGTGGACGGCAGGGTGACCTCCACGAAAACAGGTCTGGAGGACTGGGGTGGGCAAGACAGCCGCAGGCTGCAGAGAATGGCAGGAGAGAATCAGACCCGGTGAACGCAGAAGCTCTTCGTGACTTTTGCCAGAAACAGGAGCAAAAGGAGTGAGCAGAAGATGGAGGGAAGATAGGGCAACAGTCTTTTTATTTATTTATTTTATTTTTATTTTTATTTTTATTATATTTTTATTACCTATTTTATATTTATTTTTATTATATTTTAATTATTATGTATATTTTATTTTTAAGATTTTCTGTATTTATTTCAAAGAGAGAGGGAGTGAGAGAGAAAATGAGCAGGCAGAGAGGCAGAGAGGGGGAGAGAGAGAGAGAGAAGTAGACTCCCGGCTGAGCAGGGAGCCTGATGTGGGGCCCGACCCCGGGATCATGACCTGAGCTGAAGGCAGACGCTTAGCCAACTGAGCCACCCAGGCGCCCCTCTTTTTATAATGGAAGAAATTTTAGCACATTTCCACGTGGATCAGAATGGGAGCTCACAGCGGAAAACAAAGCACAAGCAAAACAAACTGATGACGCGAGGGGCAAAGGGTCAGCCCAGGGAGAAGGTCAGCTTCCCCAGAAGTTTGGGCAGGTCCCCCACGTCCCGGGAGGGAAGGCAGGAGGCTGTGTGGATGTCCCCTACCTGCTTCTGCTCAGAGAACCGAGAGCCATGTCAGCAGTGAGGGGAGAGCGGGGGAAGTCGGAAGGGACAGGAGCAGAGGGAAAATGAAATGTAAGGAAATGTACGCGGTCCCTGAGGCTGTGTCCCTCCAGCCCCGTCCCACAGCAGGAAGATGGTCCGAAGAGGGCAGAGAGACGGAGCAGAGCAAGACCGGGCTCTGGAGGTCAAGGGCATAAGGTGGATATGGGGGATAAGACGCGACGACCCTGAGCAATCCAGGGGAGCGGACAGGTCACAGTGGAGCTCCCCCTACCGCTGTGCAGCCCAGCCAGACAGAAAGAAGCCTGAGGAGGAAAGCAGAAGGAATCTGTTAGAGAACACCGTTTTCTTGACCCTTGGCGTAAAGCAGCATTCCTTACACTGGACCCAAAAAACACAAACCAGAAAGAAAAGGATTAATAAAGTTCACGAAGTGTGTATTAGGCTGCTCAAGCTTCCACAACAAAATAGCACAGGCAGGGCAGTTGACATGACAGAAAGGTATTTCCCCCCACTCCAGAGGCTGGACGTCCCAGATCGGGATGCCCGCAAGCTCGATGATGAGAAGGACTCTCTTCACTCGTGACAGCCCCTTCTTGCTGTGTCCTCACAGGCACCCACAGAGAGAACATGCTTTCTGGCCTCTTCTTATAAGAGCACTAATCCCATCCTGGGGCCCCACGCTCGCGACCTCCTCTAAACAGAATCACCAAAGGCCCCGCCTCCAAATACCAACAGGTGGGGGGTTACAGCTCTCACCTATGAACTTAGCAGGGACACAAGTCCGTGCACAGCAGTGGCCAACTGTAAAACCCACTTGTAAGACAACTGGGGGAACCGAACTGACTGGATATTTGATGGCACTGAGCATTACTGTTATTGGGGGGGATAATACTATCACAGAGATGGTTGTGTGTGTGTGTGTGTGTGTGTGTGCGCACGTGTGTATACAATCCTTAACCTTTTACGGCTACATGCTAATGTATATACAGACAAAAAAACTACAGGTCTGGAATTTGCTTCAAAATAGCCCACGGGTGGTAGAGGTGGGGAAGAGTTGTTATTATTTGAGATATCATTCTCAAAGCAGAAGATTTAATATCTAGGTAAGATATAGGAAGAATTCTTGGGGCACCTGGGTGGCTCAGTCGGTTAAGTGTCTGCCTTCAGCTCAGGTCATGATCCCAGGGTCCTGGGATAAAGCCCTGCATCGGGCTCCCTGTTTGGCAGGAAGCCTGCTTCTCCCTCTCCCACTCCCTCTGCTTCTGTTCCCTCTCACTGTCTCTCTCTGTGTCAAATAAATATATAACATCTTTTAAAAAATAAAAGTAAATAAAAAAGAAGAATTCTTACAAATCAACAAAAAAAGACAACTCAAGAGAAAAATGCTCCAAAGATATGAACAGGCGACTCACAAAAGAGTACACCTGAATGGCACATAGACATATGAAAAGATATCCAACCTCACTGGTATCTAAGAAATCGTACTATTTTGTACATGACACGGATACTATTTTGCACCTTGCAGATTGGGAAATGTCTGTTAGCACCAAGAGCTAGTACGCACGTGGGGAAAAGGGAGGGAACACGAACAGATACAAACTCTGGTAAGTACTCTGACCAGGTCTAGCAAAGTCAAAGATGCAGACACCCTGCAACCCAGAAATCCCACAGCTGGGTGTGGGATTTCTATTGCCTAGAAAAATTGAGACCTCTGTGTGCATGCAAGCGCACACACACACACACACACACACTCGTGCCCATATGTGGTGAGTATGGAAAAGATGCTTTCGGTGGCACAGATGTGATGACAGTAACAGGAAGCAATCTGACTTTCAGGAGAACAGGATAAACTGTGATGTATCCCTTGTTGTGGGCTGACTTATGTCCCCAGAAAGACATGTTCAAGTCCTAACTCCCAGAACCTATAAACGTGCCCTTACTTGGAAATAGGGTTTTTGCAGAAGTAATCAAGTCAAGGTGCGGTGTCTGGGTGGCTCAATCAGCTAAGGGTCTGACTCTCTTGATTTCGGCTCAGGTCCTGGGATCAGGGACCTAGG